AGTGAAAGAATTAAAAAGTTACCAACTGAATCTTTTTACTATACCATTTTACGTATTGGGTTATAGGTATAATATGCCCCTCTACTATGACGTTTTATCAAACATGCCCCTCTATTATTTTTTACATCAAACATGCCCCTGTAATTTGGAAAAACTATCAAACATATGCCCTTCAGTTAAAATTTCCATTGAGAAAATCGTCAATCATGGCTGAACCGAGATTTAGACCCTTGCTTTATTTCTCTAGGTCTCATCAAAGTGAAATTATTAGAATTATTTGGCTATACTAAAGAACAAAAAAAAACTCTAAATTGAAATTATTAGAGATATTTTAGATATTTGGGTCGCCCAAACCAAAGTTCGGTCTTGGTTAACGATTTTTGGATGGAAATATTAACAAAAGGGCATGTTTGATAAGTTTTCCAAAGTAAGGGGCATGTTTGATGTAAAAAATAGTAGAGGGGCATGGTTTGATAAAACGTCATAATCAGGGCGGACCCATGCATTAGCAAGGTGTGTCAACCGACACACCTTGACTCGGAAATTTTGTGAGAGATCCATGTTTCATTGGTACAAAAAATTTGAATTTGGAATTTCTGACACACCTCACATAATTGCAATCGACACACCTTTAATACACTACATTGATTTTGATGTCATATAGCAATAGGTACCAAAATACATAATTATATATTATTTATTTTAATTTTTAGTGAATATGTCGAGAGGAAAAAATCCACAACCCATGGCTCACAATTCTCTGTCCTCTGCTCCACTCTCTAATTACTAGCACCTGCCGGTGGAACCTCATCCTCTTTCAAACTTTTACGTTAACGTCTGTCGCCAACGTTCCTGCTTTCCATTTTATGCTATGGAGTTAATCAAGAGTGAACTTCAAATCAGTTTTATGAATTAATTTATACTTTTGTACGTCGATAAAAGTTTGATCACACCATAAGCGACAAATATATTTTACAAACCTTTCTGAATATGAAAAGTTATCGTGTGTCACTGTGAAAAATAATAAATCACGACCTTAATGAATTAATGATTTATTTTACTTTTTATTTAATTCATTTAATTTATTAATTATTTTTTGTCTGCCGACACACCTATTAAAGAATCCTGGGTCCGCCACTGGTCATAATAGAGGGGCATATTATACCTATAACCCTTACGTATTTAATTATCACATATAGTGGGGTTATAAAGACCGATAAGCTCATTATGAACCCAAACAATTAATCCAAAATCTGCATATTCCAATTTGGTGTGTTCAACAACAAAACAAAGTTAATTTCAAGCAATTATCAAACAATTCCAAGTTATTGTGTTTACTTATCATCATTGTCAATCAATTGTGATGTATGTATCCCCTTCCACCATTTTTGCAACTTTTTCCAATTCCCAAACCCATATTTCACTATATTTTCCATACTTCTCCAGACCTTGAACCAACTTATCAATTGTTGATGTTTTTGGGATGCAATCCTTAGTATTCTCTTCCTTCACTGGGTTGAAGTTATTTTGTATGGGTGCCTTTCGCCAAATTCTCATTCACGTTTCAATTAGGCGAGATACCTTTGTTTGCATCCCCAAGGCTAAGACTAATTCACTACAGATTCTGTTTAGAAAGTTGGTGAGTCTGATCTCCATTTGTCCCACCATATTGTTGCCTGCTCACCATCTCCAATCTTGCATATGAAGCTAGTCTTAACAACATTCTTAGTTGCATAAGACTATGCCATAGGTATCTTGGATTGTTCCCTTCTTATGTTGTTAGGATATGATAATCTCATATGATACTTTCTCTTGAGTAAGGGTACCGCTAAAGTGTATGGGTTTTACATTAGATTCTATACTTGTTTTCCAAATAAAGCACAAATTATATGTAATTGGCTCACTTTTTGCGGCGGATAATAGTAGATAACTAATATTGAGCTACACCGAATTGAATTAAATCGAACCTTTAATTAGACTGATTCATATCATACTTCGATTTAACTTTATTCAAAAATTCAAAAAATTTATTAAAAAGAATGCAAAACATAAACCAAATAAAAATCATGACCAGAGCAAATACCATTTTAATCCTCACAGAGGATTTCTGAAGACTTTTTTAAAATTTAAAATTCATGTACTTTACTTGATGCATGGTTAGTAATATAAATAACGGTATAAATTTTTTAAATGAAAAAGAAAATGACCACGAAAATCCTCATGAATGTTTTTAAAAATTATTGAATATAATATATGCATGGTATCTTCTTGTTTTTTTAATAAGGCCTTCTTGTTTTCTAAGTGTACCATGAAATATTTTTATAGGTTCCCTAAGAAACCAAAAAACAATATAGCAGTTCAACTTTCTTCACTATCAATAAGCATTTCAATGCACAATCGAAAGTTTTCATTTCAATCCATCCAATTGATTCATTTTTTAAGTTCTGAAGGACCAAGAGATACAATTTTGAATTTTCCTTCATCTCCGACTATATTTTTGAATCACCAGCAAAACTGAATTTGAAAGAAGAAACTCATATCTAAAATTTTCTACCCAATTCTACTGGTGATGGGGAAGAAGCTTGCTTGATTAGCCCAAGAACATTAATTGTTCCTTGATTTGGAATGTTACGAATAGATCGAAAACAAAATCAGAAGATATATGAACTAAATAATAATCTAAACATAGCAATTGTAGTATAGATTTCACAGGCAGAAAATATCATCTTAATGCTAGAACTAACTAAATCATTTACCTAAAATGAAAATAAAATAAATTCAGTCAATCCTACTCGTCATTGCATCCTTAATTACAGCTACAAAGAATTATAATGACAAATCTAAATAAAAAAGAGGGAGATATGTAAGAATCCATTAATCCATGCTCTTGGTTGGCCCATCATTAATTAGATAAAAAGTAGTTAGACGGAAAAAGAACTAAAGAAGAAAAAAGATATCATTTTATTTTTAATTGATCCCTAAAATTGTATCATAAGGAAATGATTTGATGATGGTAAGTGGCTAGGTGTAAATTTTTGGCTGCAACGTGTAATTCATGCACAACTTTGGTTAGAATCAACCAAATTAAATAAGAGCAACAACTTTGGTTAAAGACTTGCACTCTGATCTTTCTATAGCCATCAACTTTTCTTTCTATCCATCTTGGAGACTTGGACTAATGCAATCCAAAAAACAGCCATCTTCAACAACTGATATGTTGGGAGCAAAGTGGAAGGAGTTGAAATTAGAGGGAGCAAATTGGAAAAGATGCTAATTATGATGAAGCATGCAGTCATAACTGAAAGGCCACAGGCCGCAGAAGCCACTAATTGCTCGATTTTATCCCGCTATGGTGAAGATCGAAGGTCTATACGGGGAGAAGGAAAGGTGACGCGGCCGATCGATCAAGCTCCTCAAAGTTGGATTTCCATTCAATCCAGGGCACCATTAAGATAGCATGCATAGGCGGCTATGAGATTTTCATTCTTGCAGTGAGGGAAAAAATGGTGGGTTGATCGAGCTAATTTCACCTTATTGATTAGCTGTCGCCGGCGAGGAGCGTTGGACTGCAGTTCAGCTTGTTGCAGAGATGTGTCGTTGTCGCCGACAATGGCTTCCCAAGCAAGCTGTAGGGAGTGAAGTTCGTTCGTTCGATATCAGGCTGGAAGGAGGCGGAAAGGGAAAAGGTGGCCCAACGGGAGGGAAACTCAAGTTTGGCCCAGGCCCAGTCCTAGGCCCGTGTTTGACAATGGAAGTAAGTGTAAGCATAATAAAACACAGCGTCCCACTAATTAGTATATGCGAAATGACTATATGCCCCTTCCGGAAATCAATCTGGAGCCAGCAAATTCAAATCTCTGAAAAACTAACCCATGTTTTGCCTTCATGTATTGTGTAGATGCGTGTGGAGTGTTGGCCCATCCCGACTCTACATATATATGGTACATGGTGTTTCCTGGCGTATTGTTATGGCCACTAGTTTTTGGAGCCTAACCTAACCACACATACGTATCTTTCAGGCTGCTCAACTTGGATCTAGTCGATTCTTGGATCTACGTTGGACATTAACAATGTTAAGATAAACATTTAGTTGGAATCGAGTTAGGTTAGTCTGCTTATAATACGGTCAAGTTCATACATTAGTTTCTTTCAACAACTTGGGTAGGAATGACAATGGGGCAAGTCAAGATAATAAAAGTAAAATTTGAAGTAATTTCAATAAAATTTTAAGCTAACATATCTACGTATAGTTTATTACACAATAACGGGTCAAGAATGGGACAGGTCAAGACAAATCGGGACGAGAACATTACCCATGCCCGACCGTCTCAAAGTAGGTCAAACAGGTCAGATCGACATTGTCATTCCTAAACTTGGGTTATTGACTATTGAGACAAGTTGGTTTACGAAATAAACACATAGTATCATAGCAAGTTTGATCACAACATCTCAAGTTGAACTTCTCGGTTCTCACAACCTCTAATATTAACATTTCATTGAAGTACACATAATATGAGAATCTATACAAACTTTAAATTCATGAATTGACTTTATTTTAATCAACAGACGTATAAAAAAGCTGTAGAAGATCCATACATCATCTTCTCTCGAACGTAATTATTAGCTCAAATAGGTGGAGAAACGATCTAAACCCACCTAGTAAGATGTCGTTGTGACCTAGATTAGCTAGCTAGGGTGGTAATCAACTAATGGTGGCCTCTAGTTTCCAATTAATATTCATATACATGAAACAAGAAAATTTTGCACACAATAAAAAACACTAAAATGGGTGGAGAGTCTAACAAGACTTTGTTGATAACAATACGAAAGAAAAAAATGACCCCACTTTTCTGAGGTTACATATGAATACAAACAAAAAATTACAATAATCTTAAAATCTCCCTTTATTATAATAACCTCACACTCCTTTTTTGTCTTGAGAGGTTTTTTTAGGATATTATCATTATATAATTTTTTTCACACATACATATCCCATCCTCCTCCTCCCACCGTTTTGTATAAATTACACCTGCCCAAGTTTTTCTTCATATATACCCACATCAGATGGCTTCTCGCGGCAGCCTGACCGTCTCCACCGCCTCCGGCAAGGCGGCGGCAGGCGGCGGCGGAGGAGGGCAGTGCTTGTGCTCCCCTACGACGCACCAGGGGTCCTTCAGGTGCAGGTTTCACCGCGCTGCATCGTCATCGTCGGCTTGGAGCAAGATGATGATGAAGAGATCCTACTCCATGCCTGCTAATACTAGTAATAATAACAATGATAATTCTGCTTCTACTACTACTACTACTTCTGCATCCATGGCTTCTTTTTCTCCCAAGACTGTTGAATCCAACTGATCTTCTTCTCTTGTTTTTGGTTTTTGGGTTGAGTTTTAAGATGTTGTGTTCAATGATATAAATATAATGTAAATTCGAGCACTCTTATCCCGAATGAATGTTGGTAATCTATCTCTGCTCTTTTCTTCCCTTCAACTTGTTTTTGCTCATTTCAACGTTTTGAGTACTTGCCAAGAAAATATAGTTTACGGTTTTAAAGAGGTGGCAAATGGATTGAATTGGCGGATTGGTGAATCTAATTGATTGGTAGACTCACGGATTAAATAAAAGGGGTTGGTGGATTGATTCATGTATCCAAATTATCCAATCCTTGAACCAAAAGGTAAATTTTAAAAAGTTTAGATACTAAAATGTCATAAGGTAAAAATTTAGGTACCAAAATGTTTTTTTTTTCAATGAATTTTTTCATCTAAAAGTAAATTTTAGGTAAAAGAAAATATAGGTACTAAACTGTAATTTGCCAGCAATTCATGAATTCACTAATCCACTCAGATTTAGATAAAATGGATTGGATTTGATTATTGGATTTGGATATTAATCTGCGGCGGATCCAGAACATAGTAGAGCACTGTGCCGCATTTCATTAGAAAATTAGATATCGTAAAAAAACTAATGATCAAATTTTTTTACAATGTCAATTGTACATGATGGTCATTTAATATGGCGAATGCATCAATAATGGAGTCTACATCCATACCAGTAACATACTCTGTTTCAAATAAACTAATTAAGCAAACGACAAGAAATTCATCGCTCATTTTGTTGCGCAAATCAGCTTTCACATTTTCATTGTTGAAAATCTCCGTTGTAGCCATTGAAACGGTCAGTGTCAACACTTGACAAATCAATCGACTAATCAATTTGCATTGTGTGTCCATCCCTATATCCACCAATTGTTTTAGTAATTTTCAAGAGAACAAAGCTCATATTTCTTTTAGTCATTTACATTTTAGTCTTTTAGGTTTTATTAATTTTTCTTAGACGAAAATCTTTGGAGCTAGAATTTCTAGGCTAAACTTGAGTATAGAGTAGCAATTCGAATATGTTCATCTGAACCATTTTTTCTAAATATACACAATCTTATTATAAAATAATATTGGGCAGAATGATTAACATCGAAAAATTCGTAAGGGCTACTAACTAGTATCTAGGGGAGGACTGGGTCGTGGCCCGGGGTGGCCACCCCGTGGATCCGCCACTAACTAATCGCCACATTTACTGCTTTAGTGTGTGATGTTCTCGTTGGTTACTTGATTAAGTACGACCAGTAAAATATATTACTGTACACGCCATGGTTATTTTGTGCCTAATTCAAGAATCCAATCCATCCACTAAAATATCTGATTAATCCAATACATTTAATTCAATTTTAATTGGATTAGAGGATTCATGTATATTTGAAAATTTATGAATTAGCACCCGTACAAATTATATTTTATATTTCGATACATAAAATTTAATTTTTAAATGAAAATTATCATTGAGAATTTACATTTTGGTACCTAATGACGTTTTGATAGCGCCGTTTTTGCACATGTTTTCACCTTTGTTACCTGATCATTTTTGCTCGAATTTGTTGTTCCTTGGCCTATTTTACGCTAGGTTGTGTTGTCTTGTCGTATTTCAGGTCCTAGCAAGTAAAGAGGTGCAAAGGCGCAAGTTTCGGGTCATTTGGAGGTCAGGTGGCGATTCAGAGAGCAAATTACGGGCAGCCCCTGCCCAATTACGGGCGTAATTGCTCCTGGCATGCCCGTAATTGCAATGCCGAGCCTAATTCTGAAGAATTCCTGTCGCAGAGACAATTACGGGCAAGATTCAAAGAATTACGGTCGTAATTCCATAATTACTGGTAGTAATTGGGTAATTACGACCGTAAATCCTTTTTTCTAAGTTAAGTGAAACACGCGTTTTGGGCAATTATGGGTAGACCATGATTACGACCGTAATTCTGCCCGTAATTCGCCCAGAATCGGGTTTTTGAGGCAGATTTGAGCCAAAGGAGAGGGAGTAGACTTTTTGGAGCAAAAACAGAGTTTTAGAGAGAGAAAGTGCGAAGAACAAACCCTAGGAGCTATTTGGAGTGGATTTCTCACCATTGAAGCCTAGATTGCATCCCGAGGAGTGAAGATTGACATCCCAGAGCAGATTTTCCTCATCTTTATGAGTATGACTACTCTGATTTCTGTTTTCCTCTCTCTCTCTCTATGGAGTAAAACTCTCTCTCACTTGGGTATGAAGAACCCTAGTTCCATGTGTTAGGAAACTCGATTGTAATTACGTTTGGATTGTGATATTGCTTGATTATAATCGATTGAAGTGTTTTGATTGTGTCAATTGAAGTCTGATCACCTTTTATTGATTTCTGCTGCAACCTGAGATAGATAGAATCTGATTAGGTTGTTAGAGCTTCTTCAATCGGTAGTAGTGAATCGATTATACGAGAGTTAGTCGATTCACTGCTTTGTACTGGAATCTAATTCCAGTAGTGGATTTCTGTGTTCATTGCCTCAACGTTCTATCCCGGTGAAGACTAGTCGTCTGTCGGGTAGTTTGACTGAGAGGGCTTGGTCAGCTTAAGAGATTCCAAGCTACTGTCGGATCTTCCGTAGTAGAATCAGCAGTAAAGCAGCTAAAAGTAATTACAACTGTGACCTAACTAAGGAGCTAGGGGGACTCATTCCCGAGTGGCTCTTCCTTTGCTTTAGAAAACCGAATAAATTCCTGCTTTCTTACTGCTTTTAGTTAAGACCTCAACCAATCGACTTAGTTTGCTAGATAACAAATATACACGGAGTAGGCAGTAGATCTAGACACCGGGTTGATAATTAGAACTTGCCACTTTACTGCATTCCCTGACTGCGATTACACTTGGTCGCAGTTTGGTGTTGTGTCGTAGAGTGTCACGTTTTAGTACCTTAAAATTTTGAAATTTACATATTGATCCACCTAGTATTTAGATATCGCTTTTCATAATCCAATCCACCATTCAATTTGATCCAATTCATGAATCCAACAGTCCATGAACCCAATCCATTTGATTCATGAACATGTTGGACTTGTGAGGTAAATCTTGATTAGTTAGGGAAGAGAGATCCAACTATCTTTATCCTTTTGTTCAACTTTACTTAACACTTGACTGAAATTAAGTATGTAAAACATGTATCATTAAGAGTTGTGTTCTTTCTACAAAGAAAAAAATTTTCACTATAAAATTTTCTTATTCTCTGTCTAAAAGTAACATTACATGATCAAATACTAAAATTGCCTAAAGCGAATCAGTGCTATAGCCAAAATCAACAGAATGAGGAACCCCATATGAAGATGAGGGATGATCAAGTACAACTTCAATTCCACCATCTAGTTGTCCGATCATCGGATAATTAGGCGTAGTTTTCATCATCGTTGGTGTCATATTCGTTCATTGATCAACCATCTGAACTAGCGTTGATGTCCTCGGTCCTGTGTTCATTGGTTGATGGTAAGGGTGCACAAAAAAAATGAGAGGAAGAAGTGGAGACACAACCATTCATATCATTTCAACGGCTCACCAGTTCCATCCTTCTCTTCTCCACCTTCATTAGCAGTTCTGAGTAGGCAGATTCAAGATCCGATAGCTCACCCACCTCCACCTTCTCAACAGTTTTGTTCCACCAGTTGTTTAGTTGCTTCCCCTTGAGCTTTTGCCTCAGCGCCAGATCTTTCTTTTCTTCCTCTTCCACCAATTCGAGCAGCATATTGTATGTCTGGTTTAGCTCTTGGATCCTTGCCTGCCTAAACATCTTCCCATTGTCAGGTGATAATTGGGGCTGCTTTTTTTGTCGGCCGAGATATCGAAGTGAAAGATCCTTGAAAGAATGCTGACCGAAAGTGAAGGATTTTCCTGCAGGAGAAAAGACCAAAAATCCAACCTCACTGCCTGTTAGGGTGATTAGCTCATTTACTTTCTTATAAATTCCATACTTGCGTTTTGAAAAGGTGGTTATCATGTCTGATTCTTTTTCAATTTTTTTCATCTCGATCTTTTGCTTCCCTCTTGTTTTCTTGGCAACGATCTTATTATTGTTGGTCGCCATATGAAAAAAGGTTGGAAAGCAAAAGGAACTTGGATGTGAATCGAAGCTTTGGATAGTATATGTAGTTATTTATGGTTTTGTTGGAAGTGTTCTATACGCATTTATAGTGGCATGGAAAGTGTAGTGAATTGAGGACGAACATAAATTGGGTATGATAATGAGTTTTTCCAAGACTAAATGGAATTTTTTTATTATTAAAAATTAATTTAACTACATTATTGAGTTTTTCTGACACTAAATTGGATACTTATTATAATGAAAATTTAATGTAATTGCCTTATTGATTTTTCCTAAACTAAATGGAATAAATTTTAAAATGAAAAATTAGTGTAATTGTCTCCTTTAGTTTTTTCCCACTAAATGGAATCAATATTTTCCAGAATAATTAATGTAGTTGCCTATAATATATTCTTCAGATATCTTTACCAAAAAAAGGGGGAACTAGAAAAAATAATATTAGCTATAGATTACTTGACAAGTATATGATATATCTTTACTAATATAGATAAACTAGTCACCTATTATGCGCTTTGTTGCACAATTTTCTTTATTTAACATGTTCTAATATCTAAATTGTTGAGGTGTGCTTTGTCTAAGTTTTGTTTTATTCTTAGCCCGTTTAGTTATAATTCATGTGGTGGGCTACTCCAATAGTCCAAGTATTTCGTCATGTTTTAGTAAGAATTTTGTTCACCTCTTAACTTTCCGAGATCCCTTCGACTCCCATATTGATAGTAGCCAAACGACAGGAATAGAGGAATTTGGAATGTAGAAGAAAAGCAAAGCACGACTTAGAGCTGGAGGTATGAACCAAGTCGGAAAAGGAAGTGAAGACTTCCACTTATGGAAAAATCAGCAGTCCAGCTTTTATGGAAATATTATGAATTGTTATATGGGAAATCCTTGTCACATAAGGATTCCTAGTCCATCTCTGATTAGTTAGCCTTCTTGTATCACCTTTGATGTCTTCTCATTCAAGCAATGATGTGCAACCCAATAAATCATTGGTTCAGACATGGAGTGGTGCCTCTTAGCACATCAAAGCCACCCAAGTCATTAAGGAGGGAAGAAACTTGGTCATCCTCTTTCGGGAACATATTGTATTAAATGGATCTCATGCACATATTATCACAATGAGATCAAACCGATGCTTCTTTCATGCATGTTATTAGATCCATCTTTGCATCGATTCCGTGTATCGTTATTCAGTTCAATCTCAAATGAATCACATCATTTGATTTGAGTTTGACCAACCATTTTATAGGTACTTTCCATCGAATCTACCGGTGATTTCTTACTCATTTTATTATCAGGAACATTATTTTTTGTTGCCTTGTCATATCCCTTGTTAACCTAGAGCTCGTACCCAATGAATACTGTCATAGCCTTACTTTCAGTCATGCGGCCTTAGCTCTCAATTCCGTTAGAGAACTAAGCTGCCTTCTCTCAAACTCAATTGCAAGCAAAGAAAGCAAGAAGAAAGACAAAGACGATGGGAGAATTCTCTAAGTGTATTACTCTAAAAAATGATGGAAGGGGTAACAAGTGAGGGAGATGACTCCTTATATAGGCCTCTCCACATACAAGGCATCAATGCCCCTCATGATGTCCCTCTCTACATCAATACACCCATAAAGTCCCCCCCCCCCCCCCATAATGCACTCCTTAATACCACTCATAGTGTGGCCCATAAGTGCACCATAATGCTCATAAAGGTTGGGAGAATCCTAAAGGCATCTCTATGCTTCTAGTCTTCCATACACACCACATGTGCACACCATGTTGTCACCTAGTTGGTTCCATGTCATCTTCCACATGTGACATCCTCCCCCACCTATGCTTGTGACGCTCTCGTCGCGTCATTGATAGACCGTTAATTACACGTGTTTTTACCCCTGTTCTTACACCGTTTGAGATGTGGTTTCTCGTGTTTTAGACCGATTTCACGCTAGGTTGTGCTTGTTTGTGATATTTCAGGTCCTGGCAAGTGAATGAAGGTTTAGGAGCGAGCTCGGGGTCGATTGGGCGAAGATCGGGCGCGAGGCAAGTCACAAAGGAGGCCACACGGGCACATCCACAAATCACACGGCTGTGCAACTCATATTTCTGGCCGTGTGAGATTGTGCGAGAGCAAACACGGCCTGCCCTGACAACACACACGGCCGTGTGAAGGAGTGGCTTGGCCGTGCGTGTTTTGCCGAGAGCAAACACGGGCAGATGGAAGTCACACACGGCCGTGCCACTCTGGCCGTGTGAGAAGCCTGGAATTCGACTAAGTGATACGGTGCGTTTTGCCTCACACGGGCAACTGGGTAGGCCACACGGCCGTGTGGCCCTGCCCGTGTGAGTCGGGATTTCCTGGTTTTAAGCCAAATTCCGAACCAAAGAGGAGGGGAGCTGGGTTTTTGGATCCCAAACACCCAAGGGACGAACCAAAGAGAGAGAGGGCGATTTGAGGGCATTCTTGGAGTAGAGAAGGAGGATTTCTTCGCCTTGGAAGCTTGAGGAACAAGCCCGGACTTGAAGACTGATCATCTGAAGATTCTTACTGCAGTCTCTCTTCTCTATGGAGTAACTTCCCTTCACTTAGGTTTTGAGGAACCCTAGCTATGTTTGTTTGATTGGATGATTGTATGAGTACTCTGACTTGATAATCTTGAGTTCATATTCAATCTATGAATGTTTTCATGATTCAATTCTGCTTTAGTCGAGATTATTGATTCTGCTTTGATCCTATGAGAGGGAATACCTGATTAGGTCAATAGAGCACCAGAGATTGATAGTAGTGGATCGATTGCTTTAGTTAAGGGTTGATTCACTGCTTTGTATCGATTGAGAACCTCTTTCGATAGAGGGAGTCTAGTTCAGAACGCCTTGATCAGTTGTTCTAGAGAAGGATACGTCCCTCTAGGCAATTGACTCAAGAGGGCCTTGTTCCTTTAGTCGAGACTCAAGGTCTAGTCAAGGATTCTCCGCATTGAGAATGAAAGTGAAACAGGTTAGAGATCATCAATCATTAATCTGGCTAGTGGCTAGGGGGAATCATACCTAAGTGAGTTCCCAACCTGTAATTAGATTAACTTTAACTGTAGTTTGCTAGAGTAGTTTTAGTTCTTTCATCTTAATCTGATTTGCTAAATAATAAACTGAAGCTGAGTAATAGTAACTCTAGAGACCCGTGGATTCGATATTTATCACTTCAGCCACTATACTGCAGTCCCTTTCATTGGTTACACTTGGCCTTTGTTAGGTGTTGTGTTTTAGAGCATCGGTCATCTTCTTGGAAACGGTCATCGTTGAGACGCTGATAATTAATGCAGAAACGGTACCCAGTCACCGTGCACATCGGGATGAGCTCATTCTTCTCGTTAGGCACCACGGTCATCCCACCCTTTTTGGGTACCACCTGGGTGGGACTGACCCACTCGCTGTCGGAATGGCGAAGATGATCCCCACATCCATCAGCTTCACGATCTCCGCCCGAACCACAGCCTCCAAGCTCGTTGTCAGTCTTTTCTGCGGCTGTCTCACTGGCCGCATCTCATCCTTCAGTATTATTCGATGGGAGCAAAAGGAGGGGCTGATCCCCCGGATATCTGTGATCTTCCACGCTAGAGCTCGCTTGTGCAGTTTCAGCAAGGCCACCAGTCTGTCCTTCTGCTCGGGTGTGAGGGTCGAGCTAATGATGACTGGCAACTTATTCCCCTCCCGGAGAAATGCATACTCCAAATGAGGAGGGAGGGGCTTTAGCTCCAGATCCGGTGGTTCCTCCAAAGAGGTAGTGATGCGGGGTGAGGATGAGATCGGTTTGAACAGTCGGTCGCCCTCCAGGAATGTGCCACTCTCCAGTGCGGCCAACTGCTCCGCCAGCTGCGGCTCCTGCGATGCCTGCTCACCTAGCAAAATACAACGCTCAAGAGCATCATCATTATCCGCACTCTTTATAGCGAGTGCGGTCTCAAAATCAGCAAGCACATCACAATAATCTAAGTCATCATGCAAATCGGAGTGTTTCCCATTCTCAGACACAGAAAAAGTAGTATGTTCATCAGTAGTCTGGGAATCTTCGACAGTGCCTCCACGAACGGCATGCTGATGTTGACCTGCTTCAACATTGCCATGAACTTGGCAAACTCAGTCTCCAACTTGTCTTTATGTAGGCGAGTGGGGAAGGGAAGTTGGGGTACATGCTCCTTAACCACTGGCTGTGGCTTGGGAGCAGGTGCTTCTTTGTCCATCCCCACTTCTGCATTGTCAGCTGGAAGTGCTGAAGCAGGTAGTGGCTCGTCCTGCCTAGGCTGGGTAGGAGCAGCATATGTGGTCTTGCCACTCCTGGTAGTGATGGCATCCAGCTGCTGGTGCTGGTGAGGCTCACGAGGGTTCGGAATAGTGGTGGCAGGTAGAGTCCCCGGTGCCCTAGTAGTATTTTGGCGAGCTATGCCACCAATCAGGTTCTGTAAATCTTGCAAAATGGCACCCTAGTTCCTCTGGCCTGCCTCCAGTGAGGCTATGTTCTGGTCCATCCTCGTGAAATTCGCCTGGCTGGTGGTCATGAATGCCTGCAAAATATTTTTCAGCTCCGTCATCTGATTATTTGGAGCTGCAGCTGCTGGAGGCTGGGCATACTGAGGCTGGGGCTGCTGGAATGGTTGCCCCTGCCTAGGCTGGTAAGGCTGCTGCTGTGGGACTGGCCCTTGTCTAGCCTGGAAAGGCTGCCTCTGCTGAATTCCACCAGGTGGTTAGAGCTCTCACACCACTGACATTGAGCTACCGGAGGTCCGCCCAGACCCCTTCCCAGAATAAGACTGTTGGGCTGCTTCAATATCTGCACTAACTCAGCCACCTGATGCTCGAGCCCGGACCTGGCCTCCATGGCGTGCACACCACGATCCCGGGAATTCCTGCCTCTGGTGCTCTGCCCCCAGAAATGATCTCTGGCAGCCAAGGTACTGATCATCTGGTTCAGTTCGGGTGGAGTCTTAGTAAGAATATCCCATCCT